ACATGGCGTCTGTCGGTCAGGATGACCCCGTGGATGTCGTCGTCGTTGTACTGGACGGCCCGAAGACTGCCCTGACCAACGTCGGAAGTACCTGAAAGGTAACTTGGGAAATGACGGCTGAGCAAGCCGCCAGTGAGGGGGGTCTTTTCACGTTGGTTCGTGATGGCGGGCGACATAGCGAGGTCGCTTGGTGGCATGGGCAACGGAAGCATCGTTAACTCTTTAACTGCCTTATCTCAACAAAACTTCGAAAAAACTTCGATCGAAGTTATGGAGGACTTGCGAGAAGGACAGTTCTCAGAAACAGGACTCACGAGAAGGATTTTTTGTCAAGGAGGCATACAGCATGATTCTGAGTCGAGCCATTATTGTGGGACGGAGGGAGTATATATATATACGCTGGACCTTCTCATCCACTTGGTCTAACGAGGTTTCAAGTGAATATTTGTGAACAAGTGCCTCCACAAACATCCTATCTATGAATAAAGTTGTAGCGTGCAGCAGCAGCACACAGCACCTGTCAGTGTGCGAGGTTTTGTTGTTCTTTCACACCACATCCTCGCAAATTTCGGAAAACGTGTGGGAAATTTCGACTTCTGAATCAAATAAATGATTCATGAAATAGATGGCCATACTTGGAATAAAGAAGTGGTGTAACCGCCACTACGACCCCACGTCGACGCGATCGCCGGGATGAGCGACGTTCCATTGTACGTGGGTCGGATGGGCAGCTACTGCTGCGTGTGTAGCGATGTAGCAACTTCTCCGTCGTCCATGGCGCTGTCGACGGCGGCCACAACAACTGTCGCTGCAGATCCATCGACGAATCGCGTGAACCTTGTGGCGTCGTCGCACGATTTTGACGAGTCCTTGCCGACGTCGTTCGAGTTCACGTCGGTGCTCCCCAGCGGCTTCCACCCGAAAGACGTGTTTGAACAGGTGTCTGCGCCGATAGAAGACGTCGTGCGCGAAGGATTCAACACAAGTATGGTGTGTTATGGTTCAAGCAGCTTGAAGCGAGCGACGACGTTGGGGTTGTCTACCGCATCCTCGTCGGGGTCCCTTCTTGGTCAAGATCCTTCAAATGTATCAACAACTTGTTTGGAAGACGTGTTGGCATCGTTCGGGCAAATTGGAGGTATCCTCTGGCGCCTCTTTCAGCATAACCACGGACTCAACATCGGCTTGAGCTGCTGGGTCGTACTCTCCAACAGCGTCCGCGACCTCCTGAACCCAACGACGCCTCCACCTTTGCAAGACAAGGATCATCCGATTCAATTCAAAACCATTCATGTTCGCAGCTTGACGCAGGCGTTGATCCTGCTGCGGCAATCCTTGCAGTTCCTCGATGCGTCTGCTCACGTTTTCGTCCGCGTTGCGGTGTATGCACATGAAGTATGAAGGCTTGCTATGCAGTCTCTTTTTTTGTAACTCTATATTCCCCTCTAATTCTTGTATTTCGTGTAGACGGACCAGCAGTTGAGCTTGCTACACTATGTGGATCTCGGTCGGCTGTCCTCGGAAGAGGAAACGGAATTCGTGGGACTTTTCGACGCACTCATTGCCGACTCTGCGTCGTCCAGTGGGAAAGAATCACAAGAAATTAGCCACGACAACTCTAGCGATCTCCAACAACCACACAGCTGCACATTGTCGCAGTTTTTGGCACCCCTTCTTGCTGGCAATTCCAAGACCTTTCTGCTCGGGTTTGTTGATTCCCACGTCGCTGTTTCGACGCTGGACTTACTCTGGATCATGTCGGGCGTTCGATTGATTTCGTGCGCGTGTGTGAAGTTAACTCAAATTGACCCTGCCCTCCTCGACTTTGAGCCGTTTGAGTGCTGGGCCAGTGACAAGTCAACCAAACCCACCGCGATGGACCCGGCGAGCAGCTCGACGTTGCAGACGTCGACGTTTGCGCAAAAACTCTTTGGTGGTAAAAGCATGCGTCGACGGTCGTCTACTCCGGTATGGCCTGTGCACTTCGCTGCAATGGACATTGTCCTTGTCATGGAATGGTTTTTTTCTCGTGTGCTCTGTCATGTGTGTGGTTCGTGCTCCCAAGTGGTTGTTCTCCTGTCAAGCACGTCAATTTTAGTTCAGCTACCTTGATGTGACTAAGTGTCCCAAAGGAATTTCAACTAAAAGGTGCTCTTCTTTGGTCGAAGAGCATGCTTGTGTGAGCGATAACGTCGAATGCAATGTCCTGAATCGATGTACGCTCTGCACTCCGACGGGGCTTGACAGGTCGTCGGAGAGTTTCAAAAAGAGCGCAGTGATTGCATTTTCGTGATGGACTCGAGCGATCTCAATGCATGGTTGTAGTCGACGCCTTCTCTTGACGCGGTGCAGCCGTCGGCTCTTCCAGTTGCAACATTTCAGGTCGTGCCGCCTCAGTCGCCAATTCATCAAACACCGCCCGTGGTGCCGCTCATGAAATTGCCAACTCAACTTGGCCTGCCCCTAAACCACACGGACTCGTCTCCCGTTGCCCCACCATTGCCTTTGGCGTCAACTCCACCTGTGGTTACAGCGCCGTCAATGAGTCTGGAATCCACCATGACCGCAAGTGCCACAAACAATGTGGCGCATGACACTGCTTCACGCGCTGCTTCTTCGTGGACAGTTCTTCTTGAAGATGCCCATTTACCCGCCATGGCTCCACCACCTCCCGTTGTTACAGGTTCGAACAAACGCAATCAATTTTGAGTGGGCACATTGAAGCATTCTGTTGCGGGATGTGTGTGGGTCCTTGGAATGGCGTGAACCAATTTCATGAACGGGTTTTTCGGATGGGATGTTTCACTGTTCAACGGACAATCCCTGGATTTGAATACCTTCCACCTTTTCATGCAGACGACGCACAGCGAACACGTATACATTGCTGCAGCACTATTCATGTTGTCGTATCAGGACTGGATGCTGCGAGCGCCGCCACGATAACAGCCACGGAAGCGCAGTTGCTTCGAAAGCACTACGACGGGCTTCTGAAGGTGCTTCAAGACCAGCATGTGCACACGATGGCTCTTCAACACCAAGTGGACGAGCTCCAAGTTGCGCACCAGGAGACTGAAGCAACGTACCATGTGCAGGTGCTCTGCTTTGCATGCATCGGTGGAGCTCCAGACTACACGATGTGTATGATGTGGCAACGTCTAACGATACCAACGATTGAATAGTTGCAAGATTTCAAGCTGGCCAATGTGGACTTGCGTAGCAAATTGCGTGTGCTGGAAACGCAAACGGGTATGCAGTCCGTACTCGACAAGGTAAAAATACATCGTAACAAGCAACGTGGCGAGAATGGTGAACTATCTATTGAATCTACCTATTTGCGACGTCTTGCGCTGCGATGACCTTGGCGACTGAATTGGGCATGCTCTAGTACGACGTGGAAATTCAAACCGTGACGTCCCAACTCGAGGCATTGCGCACGCAAAATCTTGGGTTGGAGTTAAAGGTACGTACAACCAGCTTGCAATTATGTTCCATGGGTTGTAAAAAGTGTCGAGTTGGATGGAAAAAGTGAATCTGTCGTAGCTGGCTGCCAATGCAACGGTGGATTTGCGCAATCGATACCGCGATATTGTGAAGGAAAACGTCGGCCTCCATGAACAAGTGTTGGCGCTGCGTAAAAAGGAACGGTATGTGCATAGCACCCAACGTTGTCGCGATATCTCTTCAAGTGTTGTCACTCCGGCTCGCCTCAGTCACCACGTCATTCCATTTGCACGTCTAGACATTTTCTGTCGTCCAAAAAAGTCGTCGAGGAGTCCGCCAAGAAAATCGACGCGTTATCCAAGTACGTGTTTCCCTCGACTGCGTTATTTTCTTGCCCAATGATCCATTTTATATAATTTCAATGTCGCATGTGTTTGCATCATCGCACTTGTGCCTTCATCGTTCGCATCTAGATTGGTCACGACCAAAGACGACATGTTGTTGGAGGCACGGCTCGGGGAAGCCAGGTTGAGTGCCCAGGTCGACCACCAACAGCAAAAGAGTTTGGCATTGCAACAACAGCAAGCCGCACTGACCCAGGAGCACGAAAAGGCGGCAGAAGAGCTCGTCGCGGTCAAGATGTACCTTGCTAGCATTCAAACGGTAAACCAGCGCACGTTTTGTCCTGGAGCTTCGGTTGTAAAAATATATTGCGCTCGGAGGAAAAACAGAGTGCGTTGAATTGAGGTTTTGTGCTGCTTGCAGGAACAAAAGAAAGCCGAAATGCTCGATCGGTTCGTCAAAAAGCACGGGTCGAGTTTGCTCTCGACAGGCAAGCAAAGAGCTTCTCCTAGCATCGACGAACATGCAAAGAAGGTTCTTGGAGCGGTCAAACGTGCTGTCCCACAGCTCGTCCCCAGCGTGCACAAATTATTGCAGCGACTGCACGTACGTTGTCTCTCCATGGTCAAGTGCGTGTGGGGATGATTTCCAAGTTTCGCGCGTTTGTTCATTGCTTGTGGAAGAGTGAATCATTTCGATTTCTAGGACCAAGAAGCATCGCTGTTAGAGTATTCCACTCGTGAAATGGACCTGATCAACCTCTTGGTTGAGCTGGCCACGGACCAGCAGCAGTTGACGTTGGCGCAAGTGCAGGCTGGCGCTGCTCGAAAAGTTGGAGCGTAAGTAGTCACGATTTCTAAACCACAGAATGCATGAACAACATGACACGATGTGTGCGTCTGGGAGGAAGTCCACGTTGTCGAACTTGTTTTGAGCTCGTTTCGTGGGAATCTTTTTCCTCATGGCCCGAGAACGTGTGATATTTCTCACAATCTCTGCGACTTGGAGAGTGCGCAAGAATCTCGTCGCTCAAAGCTTCGCGTCGACACTTTGCTGCACCAAGCGGCAATGACGTGTCGAATTCTCGCACGTGGGGAGACCACGCAGTCCCAGCTACCGTCGCTCTCGCCCAACAACGTGTACAAAAACGTCGTCGTATTTTCAAACCCACCAACGATTCCTTGGTTCAAGAAACCTACAAAGTGCCCACATTTTTCCGTGCTTCCATTGGAAATTGGAATCCTGGTGGTTTGACGTTTATCCAGGCAAGATCATGCCACGAAAACGCCCCATTCGAACGAGCGGCAACAGTCCCCAGCATGTCGACGGTACGCTTGTTGGAGGGGGGTAGTCCCGGATCCACTTGAAACTCGATTTGACAGGGGATCGGCTCGACCTCCACTACAAGCATCCTGACGCCCTACGCTAGGGTATGCAATTATCCCCGACCGCACAAAGTACCAAACCGACACATTCGTGGAAGCACTACGTTTGTCGCGTTCAGTTCGACGTTCCTCGACCCGATGCAGCGCTCAGAACCAACAACTTCCAGCGGTTTTGATTTCAATGCATTCCACCGCTGGTTGCATGGTGACGCCGCCCTCGTTTTTCCATCGCGCCACGACAACCGCGCCGTCAACGCCGCCGCACTCGCCGTGATGCACGTCATGTCCTGGATCGCGCCTGCGACAGTTGCCCGCCGTGGTTACAACCTGCGTGCAAACGGAATGTGAAAACGCGACCGACATTGGCTAGCACTGCTAGAACAGCCATGGCTCGGTGGCCCCATCGCAAGACGCCCTCTTTGGACGCCATGCGCGGCGACAACACCGTCGTCGAGATGTACACAAACGGTCAGCTACAACCCCGTCGTCGCAAGATGCCGCACCAGGACAATTAATGCCCAGGCATCCCCTCTATGCTTTTTTTATGTGTAGATAAAATGGCAAACGCGACAAATCCAACCGACAATGCCTTGGCTGCGACGAGCTCAAGGGTGGCCTGCGAGTTCTTTTGAAACACGTCGTTGACTGTGACGAGCACAAGGAATGGCTGAACCGTTGTGCTCCAGTTGGCCTGCGAGTTCTTTTGGACAGGACGGCTGCGTTGAATACACGGTCGGCCGGAAGACTGCGGAGAATCGCAAGGCGTGCTTTGACGCGGGAAGTGGGCACATCATGGATGTGTTTGTGGAACACGTCTTGGAGCGGCAGGTAGATGCAATCTTCGAGGACGGTGCGGATGCCAAGAATGGTTTCAAACGAAATCATCGAGTCGTCTTGGGTCGTTCCGTCGCTCGTGTTGAACAGCGGCCGGTGGGTGGCGACTGCTTGCTGCGTCATCACGTCAATAAAGTTCAGGATCGTGCCAGCCGAGACCTCGTCGAATTGTGCGCCGGCGGTTTGACATTCATTTATTACCTCGCTTCCTCTTTAGGACTTCTTTTAACAAACATGAATAACTAAAACTACCTGTGTGACCAGCAAAGTTGATCATGTCCTTCGTAAAGTCTTTGATGGCACAGAACAAGCCGCTCTTGGGAGATGGAGTGAACCATTGATCCCACGCATCTATCACTACCAGATCGTGCCGTTGGAATGGTCTTGGTCACCACGCAGGTCCGTAGAAACGGCGTGAAACGAACCGACTTTAGGATTTATCCAATCATGGCTTGTACTGATTTCCCCCCGACTTTTAAACGGGCCAAAGTGAATAAAACTTGAGAATCGATAATATCGAATGTCGAGGTGAAATTGCTCAAAGCATCGGAAGGACGTACCCGAGGATGCTGAACCCGCTGATAAATAAAATGAGGATCGTGTGCGGTTCGAGGAGGCTGAGGCTGATGTTGTCGAGGACAGGGCGGGCGACGGACGCGGTCGCCGCGGACTCGTTGCCGCAATGAAGCGCCTGAAGCGGACACGCAAACGAAACCTGCTTGGTCTGGATGTCGTACAAACTCAGGTACTTCTTGAGGAACACGTCACCGAGCGTCCACATGTCTTGGCCAGATTCATGGATTAGAACGAGGCAAGTCGCGCCGATGCAAAGCGTGTAGTCCGCTCCTAGATCTCGAGTGAGACGTGGCCAGCGGGACGGATGGGACCCTACCTGACAGAGTGAAGAACGAGTGACCGCCCAAGCCAAACCGAAGGAGTGGAAAGTTTGTCTTGGAGCACATGTAGCATTGGAACCCGTACGCTGTAAAGCCGCAGTA